ACACACTTTCTCTTTGAGGGCTGTCCTCATGGAGGACTATAGGATGAGCTAGGTGGAAAAGATACTTCTCCAATAAACAATGCAGCTGTCTGGACAGGTGATAAGGAAGTCCTTTTTAAATGGGAAAAGTAAGGTGGTCTCTGTAGACAGAGTGTGGCTTCTGTAAAACTTGCTTATTCTCAGCAGGGGAGTCTGTCAAACTGATTTAGGATTAGATGTGCATCTATCAATGACCTAAAGCTTTGACATACACTTAAAATATCCCCTTCTAAGTTTACAAATGTTCTTGATTAGAGGTGTCTTACTGTTATCAAGAATTAGGAGTAAGAGAGCAGCCTTGCTTTTTAATTCATCCTTCCAGTATCTTCCTGTAGTATTTGGGGTTTGAAAGTGCTAGTTCAGAACTCTGGTTGGTGCTGGGAAGTGGATTTGTTTCCTAAGCAGAGGATAAATGAGAGCAGTGATCCTCTCAGAGTGAGGTGACCTGGCCAAAACAATCTCTTGATATACCAACACTTGTTCTGCTGCAAACTTATGTTGGTCTTTTAGACATTCCTGATGGAGAGTCCGCCACAGATCTTAATTGTTTATTCGCTTCCCGTGAGAAAGCCTTCAGAGAGAGCCCAGAGCAAGCTCACGTTTTAAGCCAGAGCTGAGTCAGCTGCAATGAACAGCTGACATGAACAGCTGAGCCATGGCAATGAACAGCAGCTGAGGAGCTGCCTCACACTGCTCTGTGAGCTCGAGGTGCCTCCAATGGCACAGGCAAATTAAAAAAGCTGCCTACTTCTTATAGAAGTTTGTTTTGATTAACCCAGCGTCCATCTGGTACCAGCAAAGTGTATGCTCCTATAAACTGCACCATATTGAATTTTACTGGGCCACCTACCCTGCTGTCTTCAATTATAAAGCCTCAGAGTGTCCTGGTGATTTAACTGATTCCAGGATGAGCTGTGCTTTTCAGGAAGCTGGGACTGCCAAATATCTGTCTTGGCCTCTGCTTGAACTGTGTGAGAGAAGTCCCTGCATTATTAGGCTTTCCTTGGATTTATTGTTTGTTCTGATTCTGGTTGTTTTGGGAAGTATTCCTGAAAGGCTTTTAAAAGAGAGCAAGTAGGCAATTACATGCTGGGTTGCTTTGTGGGAAAGCTGGCATGAAGTGGAAGTGGAAGCTCTGCCCAAATGGGCTCTTCTTGCACTTGTTTAGTGACCCTGACGAGCTGAGATTTTTTTCTCTAATTGTATAATTTTTTTGGGAAAACCTGCAAGACCCATACCTTGAAATGATCACATACTTGGGAGGCAGCATGTTGCTGTGTGGTGCTGCCATCAGCACACTTTCCCTAACTCTGTCCCACACCCACCCTCATGTGGGAGTGAATGTGTGTGTGTGTTTTGGCATGTTGTGGGTACCACAGTAGTGCTGGTTGCGGTGGAGCAGGTGATAGGGAGTGGTTCCCATGAACAGAGGGATGTTTGGCAGCCTGGAGAGGTTTGCAAATGTGTGCAAATGTGACCAGTGAATGGCTTTTTACAAGACAGCTGTTAAAAAGGGGTATAAAACAGGTTAACTGTTAGAATAGTAATTTCTTTGCTTCTCCTAGCTAAATACAAAATCAAGAGCTTTGGCTAATCTTAAGGTTGTCTGAGTGAAGTTCAGTGTAACTTCAGATATGTTTGCTAGCTGAGATTTAACGTGGAAAAAGCTGCTGCAATTTTACACGTAAAAAGCTCTGCATTTTCCATGCTGTGTGTTACTGACGTTTAGCAAACTTCCTCAATGTCTTGGTTTGGAAAGACAGGAGTCTGCTAAGGAAGGCAGGAGCCTCCCCTGAACTGGAGAATGTAAACCCCCTCCCTCCGAATTGCTATCAATTTTAAATTAAGGGGCTCTCAGGCAAAATATATGGGAGCAGGAAATAATAGTTATTTAATAGGGAAGAAAATGAAAGCATAAAATAAACAATGCAGTAAACTAAAACAACCCTGACAGAGTCAGAACACAACCTGACACCCTGTGGGTCAGGGTGTTGGTAGCAGTCCCATTGGAAATGTGGTTGCAGCCCTCCTGGAGTGTCAGATGTGGTTCTGTTGGAGCAGGGATCCTGTAGAAGGGTGGAGTCTTCCTCTGAAATCCAGTGGAAGAAGAGGCAGCTGTTCCTCTGGGAAATCCAATGGAGAAGCCGTGCTGGTGTTCCAGAATCTCCAGATTATATCTGGGTAGGAATGCTTGGCTCCTCCCCCCGGGCAGAGCATCTCCCAATGGATGCTGTAGTTCTTATCAGCCATGCAGTGACATTCAGTGGCCTGTTATCAGCAGCTGTCTCCCTGGAGGGAGGAGTGGTTGTGGAAAAGATAAGGAAAACTGCCCACTTGACAGAAGACAGCTGCCATACAGATGGCAAAGAGAATACAATTTGCTTGACAACCCAGGACACTCATCCAGGTCCCGTTTGCAGTTCATTTCTTTTCATTACACAAACTGTATGTTGTTCTTCCACCTGCACCAGACTGAGATGTTTCACTAGCTACCTTACCTGACACAAGTGGTAGCTCAGTAAGGTGTTCTGGGAATCCACGTGGTTCTTCTAAAGCTTTGAGGCACTGAGTGTGACCTGTCCTTTATGCCACTCCTGAAGGTCAATCTGGTGGGTGGAGAGCAGGCTTGCTGAGCATTGAACTGTGTTATCTTTTGTGGTTTCCAGACAGACTTCAGGACAGCAGCTTTCTTTAATGGAAAAGTTTCACTTTTTAATTGAACTACTCATTGCCTGACCACTGGTGGCTTCTCTGGAGGAGAACAAACTCACAGCCTGAGATGATGGCCGCTTCACAAGTTTTGGGTCACTGGTGTGAGGTGATGCTGCTTCTCAAGGATGAAGTTGGCAGAGTTCTTGACACTGATAAAAGTGCTCCTCTGTCTGTAACTGAAGCCTTGGAGAAAGAGCTGAACTGTTCTAGTTGATCTTTTCCCAGAATAATTCTACCCAAAGCAAACATTTGTAAAGGAAAATTTCTTCCTAAAGTGTTGCAGAGAGTTAAAAGTAAAAGCGAGCGAAAACAGGTTCTTGAGGAGTCAGGCAGTGTGATGAATAGAGGGCTCTCCTCTCTCCACACATAAAAATGTAAACAAAGTGCAACCAAACACTTCCTGCTGCAAATCACAAGGGGGTTGAGTTTCATAAAGGGTTCCAGGAGGGGACAAAAGCCTGGGGTTTGGTCCAAATGCTGTTAAAGTCAGTGAGAGGCTTTCCCTTTGGTTCCGGTGGATTTGGAGCCAGGCCATGGTGAGCACTTGAAGGCCAACCTGACCTTTCATGGGGAGACAAAGCTGAAGGCTTAGTTTCACCTCCCTTGTACTTGCTGCAGCCTGATTGAAATCAGTGGGAACTCCAGAAACTTTGCACTTTGAGGCGTTCAGCCCTTGTAGACTAGTCTGACATTTAAGTCAGGTTTGGTGCTTAAATGTCAACATTTCACAGTTAGTAGACTCCAAAGACTGAAAGTTGTCTTGGCTTGCTTTATGCTGTGTGGTTTAGTTCCTTAGTTTTAGGCATGGTGCTTAAGGAAGGCTTTCTGAAGAGCAGTTCCTTTGTACAGAGCATCCAGATGTATTTCTTTCATCTTGGTAAATGCTGCCTCTGTTTCTTGCTGGCTTTGCCCTGGTGCTTTTTTTTCTGCAGTGTAATCTTTTCTTCATCTTGCCATGGTGACCAGGCTTGCAAACTTCCTACTTTAGAAAATGTGAACAAAACCCCAGGTATTAAAGACTCTTGGCTGCACTAGGAAGTGCTTCAGTCTTGCTTTTTCAAAGACTTGAAGGGTGGAAGCAGTCAGGTGATAGACTGTCTTAAGGAATTTGGAGAGGAAATAAGATGTGTTTTATATGCTCCATGTTCACAGGAGAAACATATGAGGATTTCATGCTTGGAAAGGTAGCTTGCTTGAAGGTGTTGCAATACAAACTGCAGTTTTTGTAAATCATTTAAATAGAGTATCCTGATACTGACTGTAAGTTATACAGAAGAACCTGCAAAGGAGGTTATACAGAAGGACTGCAAAGGTTTTCCTTCAGAATTTATTTTGTTGACTTTATATCTTCTTAAAATAAGTTGTCATTTTTTCAATGGGTTTTTTACCTACTATATGCTTAAAATATTCCTGTTGTCTCTTCTGTATTTCTTTTTGTTATTGCTTTATTACAATGATGGAGCATCTGTAAGATTCAATAGACACGGAATTATCATGAAATTATTGCCATGGATATGGCACTGTTTGTTATAGTAAGAAAGTTCCTTAGACTTTGGCAAGTGCTTCTATTCTATGTTAAAATAAATGCATGGTTTTGGCTCTAAATACAGTTTCACTTCACTCATTGAGAAACAGGAAGGGTTTTATGAAAATTCCTACAACAGTATGCCACGTGTGTGTTTCTCTCTGTGCAATTAATTATCATAGCACTTTGTCAGCAGGCTTGTGATGAAACTTAAATGTGCAGAATACACTCCCAAAAAATGCTTCAGATCAGTTCTGCTAGATAGTTATTCTCCTCTCTAGAGACTGAGCAGAGAGCTGGGAACAAGGAGTTTCTGCATTTTAATCATAGTCTAAAATTGAATTGCTCTGTTGGGGTGACCTTTTAAAAAATGTCTCTCTCTAGTCTTCTGGGAGTCTGAAGACAGCAATCTCACTGAGACACACCTGGGATTTTTCTGAGGATTAAGGGGTTAATTGAAGATTTAAAAACAAACAAACAAAAAAACCAAACCAACAAACACACCAGGACCAGATTTTGATGGCAGAACTGCAATGTATTATAGTGTGGATTACTTGAACTAGTCTCAATATTTTACTTATGTGGAAAGACCTTTGAAGAGTAGGAGTGATGTCATTATTATTGCATTTAGGGTGGTTAAATCAATGTTCACATTTTTCTCCATTTGAAAAATGAGTTCGTGTTCCAAAGTAGTTCAACAAACATTTGTTTCCTTGTATTTCAGCTACCTGACTGCAAATAACAACCAGAATTTCTTGTATACTGCAAGGCCTTTTTTGAAGAGAGCTGCTTTGGTGATAAGCTACGTAAGTATGAATAGACTTGACCAATAACAATGCATAGTGGCATCCCAAAAGACTCAGAAAGCTCACATGGTAGATCTTGATACAAAGTTAGACTTGGGAATTAGTCTCGGAAACTTCAGCTGTGCAGAAACAAGCATGTTACTGTGTTTCCACTTCAAACCTTTTGATTTATAGTGGTTTCCCTTGCAACCATGTAATCATCTGCAGGTATTTCCTGCCCTAAATACAGGGGACTCTGTGGCACTGGGCTGCCCTGTCAGTGACATGCTGTTAATGCCAGTGCAGGTAAGAGTTGTAAGAAAAACTGCTGCTTGATGTGCTGCACACAGGACTCAACATGTTGCAGAGGAGAAAACAAGCACTTCCATGGGAATGTTCTGGGTGTGCAGCTCCCTGTGCTGCTCCAGGAGCCAGATCCCCCTGCTTGTGCCTTGACAAGTGCTTACCAGAAAGGTAAAGGAGTGGCAGCTTCAGAAATCCTTCTAGGAATTGGCATTGTGCAGCATGAGAAGCACTGATGGAGCTTCTCCTTACACCTACGCCAGCGTGGATAAATGAGAAGAACTTTTAAGGCATCACCCATGATTTTCCCGTCTGCATTTAGGTAGAGCCTACACTGCAGCAGGGTGACAGATTTATCCTTGAGAGTGCTGCCCTTGTGGTGGGTACAGAGATGTGTGAGTTGCTGGCAGTAGTGCAGACAGGAGGAGGGACACACCAAGTCACAGTGTGCTCTGTGCTGAGGGTTTGTCACCCTGTGTAAGGTGGCAAACTTGAATTTTGCCTAAACTGCTGAGCTGACTGCCTTTGCACAGCATGGAGAGCTATCACAACAAAACAATTGCTGGAGAACTTAGCTCTCCTTAGTAGTGCTTTTCTAACTTAGATGTTCTTCTTTTCTTCTTTGAAGGTGATCCTCGTGCTGTATTTCCGCCTCTGGATAATGGGAGGTTCCATGCCAATGTTTTCAGAGCAGGACAATCCAGCCTCATTCTCACCATATTTACTGACAAGGTATGATGACAGCAGTCAAACAGAAGCTTTCAAAAGTGTGGTCTTGATGTTACATTTTCCTATGAAAAAAAAAACCTGTTGTGTTTCCTTAACTTAGTTCTTTGTATTGCTCTCTCTCTCTTGGAATAGAAAGCAACCAAAACTATTTGAACCCCAAAGCACATTGCAGGTCCTGTAGGGTTGTATTACAGGTGCTTTCTTAATGAAAAATGTGTGCTTATTATTATGCAAAGCCCAAAGAATATAATTTAGTTGCCTGAGCACAGGACTGGAAAGCCCTGTAACTGAGGCATAATCCTAAATCTTAGAACTGGCTGCTCCTGGAATGTGGGATGGAAGCATGCAGAGTTTTGGCTTCAGCTGAAGTTTGTATAAAAAGGGGGTGACCATGCTTCTTGGTGTAGTATCAGTGACTGAGCAGTGAAGGTGGATGGGCCATGAGTGTTTGCTCTGTTTAGCTACTGAAGGACACTTTGGAGCCTTCTGGAGGAATTTCCTGATGTCTCAAATGAAAATGGGAGCAGTCTTCCTGTGTGTCAGTTCTGGCTTGCTGGCTCCTCATTCCAACAGTGAAATTGCAGCTTAGACACAGGTTAACACCAAGCAATCGTTATTCAACATCTGCTGCAGAATTAGGTTGGATCTTATTTGGGAAACCTTTATGATAATGTGACAACAGCTCCTGTTACCATCAAGGCTAAAAGTTCTTCCAGGAAGCACATTGTCTTGTTTGGAAAGCTCTGACGTGTTTGTTTCTCATGGAGTTATTAATACCAGACTTAGTGCAGCACAGCATGAAGGATTTGCTGCTGTCCCTTTTTGATATGTTTATGCTGAGATGGGGGTCAGCAGGTCACAAACGAGCCTGGCCTAATTTCAGTTACCTCTTCTGTGCTGCACATGTGTTTTTGTGTGTTTGTCTCTTTGCCTCTTGTAATGACAGGGGAGGGGTTTCTAAACCCAAAAGCTAAGTCATTCTCAGGGTATGAAACAGTGACTATTTTTACCACTGGCACTGTGGATTTTATTAACAGCCTTAGGAAAAACAAGTCAGAGAGCTGCTGGCTGAGGTCCTCCCTTGGCCCCAGCAGCAGCCCCGGCTTCACCTGCAGTCCAGCAACACCTACCCACTCCAAACCTAATTAAGGAAACCCATTCCAGTAAAAAGCAGTATTACTGTTCTGAAGGGATTCTAAAACCCTTCAATTATCCCAGCTCTTCCATTTCTGCTGAGCTTGATCTTAATCCTCATTTTAGCCAATTTACCCAGAAGGCTTTATCCTCCATTCAGGAAACCCGTCCCTTCAGCAGGTCTCAGTGTCAGTCCTGCAGGTGCACTGGGACCCAGTGACCATCTCTGAACTGACAGCCCCTGGTGCACCCTCTGGCCCTTGGACTGGCAGCACACCTTGTCCTTCCTCCTCTGTCTGACTCAAACTGTGACTCTCATCTCAGATTTTATCTGCCATGGTCAAAGCTGGAGCTCTTGCTGCCCAGCTGGCATTGTGCCACTCATCCCAAGTACAGGATTGGGATAACAAGTGGAGCTAGCAAGGTTCCAGGGGCATAGGTGTGGTTCCAGGAAGGTCTAGGAAAATGGTTCTGCTCTTGTCAGATCCCTCCTGGCACACTGCATCCAGCTCCAGCATCCTCAGCACAGGAAACACATGGAACTGTTGGAATGAATCCAGGGGAGGGCTGCAGGTGTGGTCACAGCTCTCTTCACACAGAGCAGCAGGCACAACTTCCCCAGCATTTTTCCTAGGGAAGGCGGTGAGAAAGCTCTGAGAAAGAAGGGAAAACAATTCTTACCTCTATTTGCTGTTCCTGTTGTTTGGCACATGTGGAATGTGTTATGGAGATTGTTTACCCAAAGTGATTTGTTAATTGGACTCTGGTGATGGTTGTTTGGATTGATTGACCAGTTAGGTCGAAGCTGTGTTGTGACTGTCTGAAAGGGGTCACAGGTTTTTCTTTAGTGTAGAATATAGTGTAGTATTAGTATGTAGTATAATATAGTGTAGCTTAATAAAGAAATTGTTCAGCCTGGTGAAATCACTGGATCATTGCAGGTTATTTCCTGTTTGGGGACACCCTGCCACTATACTGCAGGAGCATTTGTGTTTATGGTCCAACTTCAGAGAAGCTCCTAAGCAGGGTGTGTTCCTCACCTGCAGATAGCTACAGTAGCAGCACCATGTGAAGAGCTGCTGTGGGAAGCTTTTAGCAAGGTTTTGAAGGCAGTAATTAGCAGAAGCCAAGATGTTGAATGCAAGTTGGGTTGAATTGGGAAGAAGGCAGTGGAAAAGCTAAGTTTGGTGTTGAGACCAGAAACGAAAAGATCAGTTTTGGGTAAGGTTCTTGAAGTCATTAGTAACATCATTACTGTAGTCAAAGCAAGGGTTAGAGTCAGGCAGTGGGCAAGTTGTTTTGTAACTCTAAAGATTATTTAGGTCACAAATGGGAGTTTTTTGTTTTCAGAGTTGTCTTTATTTGAGCTGGAAATGTGGTTTTTGTGCATGTCTCGCCAGGGTAAATGTTATGCTTTTCAACAGAGCTGAAAATTATTCTAAGACTTGGCCAGCTCTGTGGGACTGGAAGGAAGGCTGATAACAGTGGAATAAAAAAGAAAAACAGTAGTTTGGAAATGTGTGGCAGCCTTTGTGAAGCTCATGAAGCTATATCTGGAGCTGGGGTGTGGGCTGACACAGGATGAACCCAGTGGAGCACTGTGACTTTGGCAGGGTTTATTTGGGCCACCGTTAGGGGTAGGAGTGAGTTAGGGGGTTGAAAAAACAGTGACTTGTGAGGTCACAATCTGTGATCCCTGGGAGCTGATACAACCTACAGTGCAGGACTGGGGGTGTGAGTGGTCTGTGCATGTAGAGCTCAGGGTGTATCCAAGGAATCTAAGAGGAGACAGGTTCCAAACAAGCCAGGGAAGTGACACACAACAGGCAGCTGAGCTGGGAGCTCCTTCCTGCAGGACACCAGGAGCGTGCTGAACGTTTGTGCAGGGTCAGGGAGAGATTTGCCAAGTTGAAATAAGAAATCCAGGCTACTAAGTATGCAGAGACCACATCCAACTCAGAAACTCCAGTTAGGAACTGAGGAAGAATTATCATCTTTTATGCTTTACTTGGCATGGACTTGTGGTCACTGCTGGGTAGACCTTTGATGTGGCTCAGTTTGGCCCTAGAAAATTCCTGTGTCTTCTATGTAACTTGTCTCCAATCTTGGGCAACACAAATGTATAAATTAAAATAGACAGATAAGGATTCATTTAACAATTGAAGGGCATAATATGTTGAAATAATGACAGTTTTTCAGTCTTTAGAAACAGTCATCTGTTCACATACTCACTAAACTACTATTGTTGAAATTACCAGCGATATTCCCAAGTACCTCAAAGTTTAGGGGCACAAATGAGAGCCACATTTCCATGGCCTTCAATGTGTTGCTTGGCAAAGGTGGTCTGAGAAGATGGGATGTGTCTGTCATTGCCTTTCCCAGTGGAGGCAGAAATGAAGGTGTTGAGAATCCTTCTATTCCTAAGCCCTGCCATGGAAGCCTGTCCATCCAGGCTGGTGTGCACTGCAGGATGCACTGTCTCCAGTGGCCTTACCTTAAAGAACACAGACTTTGATCTCAAAATCTGCAAAGGGTAAGCAATATTTGAGATAGAAAAACCAATCCTAAACCTCTGTTCGAACATTCTTGCTTGTATCAGACAGAATTTGAGGGAGAATGCAGCTAGAAAGGTTTTGAGGGCTACCCAGCTTTATGCAAACAGTGTACCGAAAGTGCAGCTCCAGGGTCAGCAGGGTGTTGAATGCAGGGCTGACATGCTTCAGATGTTTTGCACAATGTTTTTTTCTTCTGCCCTTCTTGAGGGGAAAGAAGTAGGAGGCCTCTGGATAAACAGATTTTATTACCAATACTGTGGCAAGACAAGGGAAAAATCCATTGTGCAGCATGTCTCAACCTGTGAGAAACAGATTGAATTTCACCTGTAATTTCTAATTAAAAGTCTTTTAGTTTAAAGACTATGTCTTTGGGAGTCAAGTTATATTAATTTCTGCTGTCATTTGCCTTGTGATCTCTGGTGGCTGATCACCCTGGGCGTGAAGCAGGTTATTTGTGGTGCTTCCTTAAATAGTTAATGCATTTCTGCTAGGACTGCCTTGAGATAACATTGTCCTGTGGTTGAACTGTTCTCTCTGTAAGCTGGCTTTCTATATTGCTGTGCTGTTTCAATCAGGTAAATGAGAATTCAGTGCTACAGAAAGCTGAAGAAGTGCTTATACATAAAAACTGGCACATAATCCTTTTCACAGAGATTTATGACTGTTTTCTGAGCATTGCATTTAATCATCCCAGTTGTAACTTCAAAGGCAAGGAACTACCAAGAGGGAAGCCATGGATCTGTGCTGGGAAAATGGGTCCCTGTGCCAGCCAGCTCTGCCAAGGAAATAGAAGTCAAGTGTAGCAACTACTTTGATATGGAGTTTTCGTGGACCTTAGGCTAGAAAACAGCATTAAAATAGACCCCTGTGACATACCAGCTCTTAATCAGCCAGGCTGGCACACACTGCCTGGGTGGTGAGGTTCTGCCTGGCTTGTCAGTGCTTTCTGTTGTGTGCTCAAAGGTGTTTAAGTTCAGCCCTATGTGTAATACCTGCAGGCACCCAGCAGTCAGGGATCACTTCTAACAAAAGGGAGAACAGCAATGTTGGTAAAAATTGCTCTTCATTGATGTGTAAACTGTAGTCTTTATTCCAATGGGTGTTGGGAGTTGGGGAAGGCCTGGCTGGAAGATGGTGCTCCAAAGCAAAGGCCACCCTGCAGAGAAGGTGGCGCTCCCAGAACCACAGGAAAGGTTTCATCATCTCCCCCATCCAAGTGTTCTTGGTGTGATGGGCACACCCTGGCAGTGCTGCTCTGGGATTTGATAGGCATTTCAATGGGCTGTGGTGCTTGCTGCAAGCGCTGGTTACACA